TAGTTGCAGTCGTAAAGGCCCTCAGCCTTGATACGCTCGTTCAGTTCGCGATATTTTCGTTTGATCTCTTCCTGACTTGCGGTATCCAATGAAGGGTATTTGGCAGTGTCGAAGACAATTTCCTCCCGAGTTCTCGCATCCAAGAAGGCAGGCTTGGCCTGGGGTTGGTCAGCCAAAGCGGTCCCGGTGGATTTCCGTTGACGAACTGTGGATTTCGAGTCGATCGCATCGAATATCGGCGAGGGAGGAACTGATCCGTCTTGACTAGAGCTACTGCAGATTTCTGGAGTTGTTGAGTCCTCATCACTCGAGCACGCGTCTTCGGTATAGGCGCGGAACTTGCCGCCCTGGATCGGGGGTAGGAAGTTAATCCATATTCCTTCGATACGTCCAATCTGGTACGAGCGCATACGCTGGCGGGCTTCTTCAGAGTGTAGTCTGCATAAGATGAGTTTCAATTAGACTGATTAGAGGGTGTGGTGTTTGTCGTTCCAGAACATACGCGTTGATCTCATCTGTCGCATCCCTGCCCACCATGTGCTTGATTGGCTTCTCCCCTCCGGGGTGATATCTGATGAAAGGGTCTACACTGAGGACACGATCCTCGAAGATGATGACATGCTTGCCCTCCGCAATGAGGCCTTCGATATATCGTCGAGTCAAGAGGGCGTCCTTCCGGGACGGCCGGGATGCGGTCTTCTCCATGGTATGAGGTGCGGTGAGAGGGTGGATGTGCGTAGGGTCCGGTAACAACGCAGGATTACAGTGACATTGCCGGGTGTCGAACTAAGCAACTCGAAAGTGCAAGATGCAAGATGCAAATAAACAAAAGAAACAAGAATGAGACTCAAGAAACAGGCAGAACTTGAAACGTTGGCAAGGGCTATGGGGCGGAGGTGGATAACAGCGGGGACCGATCAGCCCGTGCGATTGTCCGCGTCCACCTTTCCCATTACCAACATACCCCCAGGCATATTGTACATTTTTTGTACATTTTTGATATGGCAGTGAGTCTCAATTATAAATTGATCTCTAACAAATTATTCTAATTGTTCTATAGCTATCGATTTTCTCCTTGACTGAGCAATGGCTTCAATGGGACCAGGTCAATATGATTTATGTCTCATGTTGTGGCATGATGCTGACTCGGAGATATAGGATCCTGTCACCCGCGTGGAAATAGAGCAACTACGGGACTCTAATGCCACCGAGGAGTTGGAAAAGCGCCTTCGGAATCGTATGTCCTTTCCAAATGCCTTTCTCGGTACGTATTTAATCTGTGTATACATTTAGGTATTGAGTTTGGGACAGCTGGTCTACGAGGCCGCATGGCCGCGGGGTTCTCCTGCATGAACTCTTTGATTGTCATACAAGCCTCACAGGGGCTGGCCAAGTTTATTCGAGACAAGCGTTCTGACATTGCTTCAAATGGCGTGGTTATTGGCCACGATGCGCGTCACAATTCTGCGAAATTCGCTGCACTCGCTGCTAACGCTTTCATCGCCCAACGTATTCCTGTCTGGTTCTTCAATGAGGAAGGGCCCACACCGATGGTAGCGTTCGGTGTGAATTATTTCGGTGCCGCAGCAGGTATTATGGTGACGGCGAGCCACGTAGGTCTACCCTGAAACTACTTTTATAGATGTATGGCTAATCGACTCGAAGAATCCACCCCAGGATAATGGTATGCTACTGAATTCTGATATTGTACAATGAGTGCTAACTGTTTCATAGGCTACAAAGTGTAAGAACCCTGGACGAATATCATGGAGAGTGCTGACAAAATCTGCTCGTAGCTACTCGAGCAATGGTGCTCAGATCAACCGACCTGAGGATGGAGAAATAGCACAGTCAATTCAAGAGAACCTTGAGCCATGGCCGACAGCATGGGCCGAGCTACAGCCGGGCGAATTCCTGCGCTCGGACTCCTACCAGAAATTGCTGCCTCACTACAGCAGCCAAGTGGCAAAGTTCACGGTACGTTGCGGGCTATGTTTCAAGGAGCTCAATCTAATGAGTTTGCTATAGAAATCTACGGTGACCGATTGGCAACCTCCAAGACCGTTTGCTTATACACCTCTGCACGGCGTGGGAGGATTGGTTCTTCCAACCTTGTGCCGCTCACTTGAAATCAACGAATTCTCTTCCGTTGCTGCCCAAGAAAAGCCCGATCCTGACTTTCCCACTGTGAAGTTCCCCAACCCGGAAGAGGCTGGAGCTTTGGATCTTGCTATCGAGACTGCCGACCAAGAAGGAAAGACCTTGATCATCGCAAATGACCCCGATGCCGACCGCTTCGCCGTAGCGGAGAAAGTGGAGTAAGCCTTATTTTCCGACTGCCGTGGATTGAGCCTGACTAATGTGTTTCCAGTGGGAAATGGCATACTTTGACTGGAAACCACGTCGGTGTACTTTTGGCGTCTCATATTTTGGATTCGTTCGACGCTAGCAAAGATTGGTCCCACATCGCGGTGTTAACTACAACAGTCTCGAGCGGGATGCTCGGAAAGATGGCAGCTGCAAAGGGAATTCACTTCGCGGAGACTCTAACAGGGTTCAAGTGGATGGCAAATGTTGCCCGGGACTTGGAGAAAGAGGGAAAGACAGTTCATTTTGCATACGAGGAGGCACTGGGATACATGTTCCCATCTGTGTGTTATGACAAAGACGGCATTACAGCAGCTACAGTCTTCCTTGCAGCGGAGGCGAAATGGAGAGCGCAGGGATTGACTGCATATGCCAAGCTGCAGCAACTGTTTGGCGAATTCGGCCATCATGAGACCTTGAACAACTATTTCCGATCACCAAATCCCCAGCTGACTGCAACATTGTTCCAGGGCATTCGAGGCAGTTCAGGTCTCGCAAATATGCAATTTGGTCCCTTCAAGATTCTGCGATGGAGAGATTTAACCGAGGGCTACGACTCCAGTACCCCTGATAATAAGCCGGACCTACCTCAAGATCCAACCAGCCAGATGATTACGCTGTGGCTGGATGGTGGGGTTCGCTTCACATTCCGAGGTTCGGGGACAGAGCCCAAGGTCAAGTGTAAGTTTTCCTAGTCTCTTTTGAGCCAATCGGTTACTGACATATGGATATAGTTTATATCGAGAGCTGTGGAGACTCTCGCGAAGACGCCGTCAAAGCAGTCTGCGATGCATTCCTGACTATTCGGGAAGAATGGGTACAGCGCTTTACACCTTCGATGACATACAGCAAGCAGCTTTCTACATCGTCTGGTAATATTCTGAACGTTGAATGAAGACGCGCATTGGATCGAGGTAGGAATGTGTGTCTAAAGTAGCTCCACTGCAAGGTTACTAGTGATTATTGAGATTGCAGATTAACATTGCACATGTTCGCACCTTCCTGGATAGTCACCTGTTCTACTTATGATCTATCGAAGTGTGATGAAGCAACTCTACGACTCTCCACCTTCCTGGGGTCTATGTAATGAACCGGTTTGAAGGTACATGATGTTACTTGCATTAGTATCAGCTCATGCGTATGTAGAGTTCAGTTTCAGATGTGACTCTCCGAGACAAGACGCATGTAGCAAACAGTGTAATGCACACCCGTAACCTGCCAGTCATTCAAGAGTACATATCAGCCAATTATTGGTTATTGATCTTACATTCCCCAAAATTCCAAAAGCAGACCACAGCATCAAACAAACCTATCGAAATAGGCTTGTGGCAAACTAATTCAGACTTCATACTTCAGAATTGAAACTGGTCAACCTCCCCCAAAAGCCACAACTGTATTTCTAGTAGCGCAGCGAGATCATTCATCGGCAACGCCGCCTTAGCCCTCTCATCATGCCACCCATGCGTTCGTTTAACGAGGCTCAAATCATGGCCACGAGGCCGAGCGGAGTCAAAATCGATAATGACAGGGGTGTCACCTTGGAACATGATGTTGCACGGATTGATGTCATTGTGGACGATACCCAATCCATGCAGATGTTTCAGGCCCCGTGCAATTCCCTCCATCCAACGGTCGACCTCGCCTCGGTCAGCCTGGTGCCTCTCGTATGCAAAGTCTATCTTATTGCGTCTGGCAGAGTTCACTCTGGCCATAAGCGTTTCATCGTACTTTGTGAAATATATTCCTCTGATTGAGCCATCGTCGACGACAGCGCAGCCGTGGTATTGGGCAATATTAGGATGCGGATTTTTCTTCAGCAATTCGCAGGTTTTCACTTCTTCAATCCAGGTTTCTCGGATGAGGGCTGGGTATTGGGGACTGTAGGGTGAAAGGCTTGGCTTTTTCAGATACCAGGTCGAACAATCCGAGGGCTTTTCTGCCTTGGTGAATTTGTCCGAGAACTCCGGGAAAATGAGAGCCCCTTGGATTTTGTTGGTGCTGAATAAGTCGCCAAACTGAATATCTTCTTTCGATGTATATCGCTTTCGGGAGTATGCTCTGTAGATTGAGCCGGACATTTCGTAGACTATGATGGTCTTTTGGAATGCGAAGTCATCTGCGTGACCTCCAAAGTCTTCGGAATATTCGAGAACGTACATTATGAAGGAGGCCGCGCATTAAACAGGAGGGAAAAATAAAAAAGCAAGGCGAGCTCAGGTAACTGGTAGGGGAGTCAAACAATTGAAGGATCATACGATGAAGCGGGTGCCGACCTAGTCACGTTTAAAAGTATTTCACCGTCTGTTTGCACTTCCTCGTCACTCAAGGCTTGTGTGAGGGAAACAAGTGAGATTAGGGGCTAGAAGGGGCAACCCAATTTGGAGGCCGCCTTTATGACCGAATATATCTCTCGGTCTTGGGCGTGTTCCCATTTTCTTTATTCAGGCATCATGCATCGTCACAATATGTATCGACAGAGCAAAGAGAGAAGGGATATCCTTCCCCCACAAGACCATCGAACAGCTATGAGACAAATTGAAAAGAGTGACAGTTATGATCACCATCCCCTGTGTCACGCCCACCAAACCACGCCCTACTCAAGGGACAGCTCCCACGTCCATCAACCGCCAACTATGAACGAGACGATTCATTGTTATTCTTGTCCTCTCTTTCGAAGTCAGGATCACCGCCCCAAAATGTAAGACTGGACCTGTACTTAGGCTGTGTTGGTATTTCTTCACCACTGAACTAATTGCAGGTACAACGTTGAATCCGACCCCCGTGTCCAACGCCACAAGATCTGCTGTCATAATCGACATAAAAGCCAATGTGCCCATATTCAGCCCCGAGCTCGATCTTCTGAATCGAGTGAAGACGAAGAGCACCATTACCATACTCAAGGGATCCACTCCATTGAGCGACAACGCGATCCACCCACAGCCAACCACTTCCACCCCAAAAGTCCGAATGACATGACTAATCGCGTCCACCGTTACGCTGCATCACCAGAACGAGGTACTTTTGCTCATGCTACCGTGTGTAAGTCACATGAGGACGGGTGCGGTAGCAAAACAAAAGCCGTTAGATTCGAAAAGGACGACAGTATGCCCGAAAATGCCGAGACTCACTATTCTAATTGTCCTATACACGGTACTCTGTCCGCCGCGGAGGACCGACATCATCCTACTTACAATTCTCGGCAACACCAGTCCCAATCTCGGGAATCGAGAACTTACAGGTGGGTATGGGGTCCTCCATTACCCGCGATGGCGTATCGACGTGGAAAGATTTATTATGCAGAGAACCATTGAGAGTCGTTATGAAATTGTCTGTCCAATGCGTATTAGGCAAATAGCACTTTTCTATGGATTCCAAAGTCGACAAGAATTTCAACTGATTCCATTCTCGTGCCTACTCTGAGTCGCTGTGCGTGCCATGACCGCGACCAACGTAGCACTATCAATTTGATATTTTCGTAGGATGGTGGGGATTGTCGTCGGTAATTCTGCTGGTCGAGACTTCGCGTTTGTTAGAACATCTGGTTCAGGGTCATTTTTGAAAAGATGAAATGAAAAGAAGGAAAAGAAACTTGGTGAATCAGCTCCGGACCCTGGTATGTCCTGTAGATTTTCAGAGCCAACTCCCAATTTCTCCATCTGTGTAGGAAATCTTGCATCGAATGAGGCTTTGTTGTACGCCACCAACGCTGACATAGGTATACGGGCGACTAAGTATGCCACCCGACACATAACTCTCACATTGGTTACTATCTCACCCTTTTTGTTCGTTATTTGCTACAATCGAGCAGAGTTTAGATGGTTTTAGTAGAGTATATAACCCCCGTACATTTCTAGTTTAATCAATTAATAATTCTTCCTCTGCTTTCTCCCCATATAGTAACAGGTTGCTCAACAGTATTCATTTATAAAAATACTATATAAAGTAACTGTAGATTCAACAATAGTACTTGTGAAGTGAGAGATCTAAATTATTGCCTGGCAATATGAACCAATGAGAGAGTTACCCGTAATAGGTACCTATGGCTCCATGAACTTGTGTGCGGGGATCCCTGCACACAGGGGCCAAGGCAGAGGTCTAAAGAAGCCAGCCTCAACTGTCCGCATACCAACAGAAAGGGGTCCTTGAAAGCTTCGAATAAACGTGGAAGCTTTCCACACAACCCTAAATTAAAAGGTATCACGGCGAGTCGATCGAGTGAAAGAATTATAGATCATAACAGACCATGAGTGGGAAGGACATTGCCATAAGAGGGAAAATGCGCAGGAAGACCTCAGACAGCAATGCGGCCAATAAAATGGCATGTGGGGTCTGCCAGCTCACTATTGCATACAAAGCTGAATGCCACCCACCCTACTTATATGTCACCTCGCTCTGGAATCATTTTCCATCCCACTGGCCATGGAACGCTGCGACTTGTGTGATCGGTTTTTTGGTGACCGGCAGGCACTTCAACAGCATATTCGAGATGCTCCAGCACACACTTTGACATTTCCATGCGAACCTTGCAATCGGACTTTCGTCAGTCAAAGTGCCCTTGACCAGCATCTACGGGACTCGCCTGTGCATACCACCACATACGACTGTGAGCCTTGTAGCAGGTCCTTTGGTAGCCAAAGTGCCTTGGACCAACATGTCCAGAATTCGCCGGCACATGCTGTATCATTCAATTGCGAGCCTTGCAACAAACCCTTTGTCAGTCAAAGTGCCCTTGACCAGCATCTACGGGACTCGCCTACGCATACCATCACATATGATTGCGAGCCCTGTGGCAGGACCTTTGGCAGTCAAAGTGCCTTAGATCAACATGTTCAAAATTCACCAGCACATGTCGTCTCATTCCACTGTGAACTTTGTAACCGAACATTTGGCAGCAAAGATGCCTTGGATCAACATGTCCAGAATTCGCCGGCACATGCTGTATCATTCAATTGCGAGCCTTGCAACAAACCCTTTGTCAGTCAAAGTGCCCTTGACCAGCATCTACGGGACTCGCCTGCGCATACCATCACATATGATTGCGAGCCCTGTGGCAGGACCTTTGGCGGTCAAAGTGCCTTGGATCAACATATCAAGGACTCACCTGCACATACGATCACACATGAGTGCAAACCTTGTAATAGGTCCTTTGGCAGTCAAAGTGCCTTAGATCAACATGTTCAAAATTCACCAGCACATGTCGTCTCATTCCACTGTGAACTTTGTAACCGAACATTTGGCAGCAAAGATGCCTTGGATCAACACATCCAATATTCCAACGCACACATCGCGCCGCCCAGAACACCATTGGACTCATCAGCACATGCCGTCTCATTCCACTGTGAACTTTGCAACCGAACATTTGGCAGCAAAGATGCCTTGGATCAACACATTCAATATTCAAACGCACACATCGCGCCGCCCAGAACACCGTTGGACGAATTCTTCCAATCCTTCGCAGGGTTCAGTTACAATTCAAAACTACCTCCATCGGAATCATATGCCCAGCTTAAGAGGTTCTGTCGCTGGGGACAATACGACCCGGAGGATAAAGAAGCCTGGGAACAATATCAATCCGCTTTAAAAGCGGAGGTGAAGATGTGGTTTGGAGCAGAGGATGACCTTGGCGCCTGGCATTCTCTTTGTCGCGCTATCGGAATCGAGCCTTTGCCTGCAAGCTGTAAGCAGGCTGCGAATGTAGGTACCTGTCTCCAGTCCATGATTATGCATATGTTTTCAGGATCTTAGACGAGGATTAGAAGCCTTTGTCGGTGAAATTGGCTAATAAGGTTATCTAGGTCGTCCGAGGCGTGTTCGTCAATATTGTTGATTTGATCGCCTGGGCTCGAAGTGGAAGCACGAACAATCGAGTGCAAAGGTTTTCGAGCCTACAGAAGCTACGAGAATACACCAAGGAAACGAAAAAGGTCTTCCACAATAACCTTGATGAGGGGGACGATGATGGAAACGTTGTCCTTCGGCATCTGCTTCGATTCATTTTTCGGGCAGCGCCGGGTGGGCTCCGTCGTTATGGCCATTGAAAATTTACAGAAGAATGAATAAATTTATTCTGTTACGCACCTGTACGGAGATTTCTTGATTACCCAGCCTAGGTATTCATCCTGCATAATTAGCTCACCAGGCCTTTCTGGGAGACGTCTCGTCAATATGGCTGTTGAAATATCGAGCTCGCTAGCTCTGGACCCGCTGGCTGTAGAAATTCCGAGTATCTCATACGTAAATGCCAGGGTACATCTGGAGGTAGTCTCTTCATCGAGGTAAGAGGACCTTCAATGTGAATTTTAAGTGGCCGCTTGTATATCGTGAAATGAAGAACCCCAGGACAACTGTGAATGTAAGGAAGGATAAAGAGCAGGAGCACTGTAGGGAACACAGCCCTAGGATTATACCCTTGGGCGGCTTTCGCTGTGTGAGACCATGCAACCCTCTCGAAGTTGGATACCACACACAAACTTTCCTTCACACTCAAATTTCAAGTCGTGTTCCAAGATGAGTGATACTGAACATCACCCCGAACAGGTTGATAAATCCGAATGCGAGGACCACCCCGAACGTGACACCGAGGAGAACGAGAACGAACCCACCAACTTCGAGTGGACTCCTGAGCTTGTGAGGATCGGAACCTCGCTCGGCGACATACACCCGTCGATTGGTCTGCTCGAATTCCACAAGGACTCTGCGATATGCAAGTACCGGCCCGGTATGACTCTACCAGACCCCGCGGATACCCAGGAGTGTCTGAGGTGGATTGGACTATCCGATAAGAAGATAGTTGAGATGGAACAAAAGTTCAATGAACTACATCCAGATTATCAAGGACCTAGGTGTGGGTATGACGAGAAATTTAAGCAGCATGCATATGCCTACAATGAAATTGTGTTTCCTAAGATTGAGGAAATTCTGAATATGTTCATTCGAGGAATACATGATGACCATGATGAGTTTGAATACACCCACAGTGAGTTGTTTAAGTCAGTGATAGGGACTTATCGGCTAATCCATTCAACGCAGAGGGCTACATTGAGAAGGGCATCCAGCTAGGACTCCGGCCGGAATTTGCGATATTCTGTGGACTACATGAGACCGATCCCCGAGCCATTGAAAACCCCCGTCTATTCGAGGAAACGTGGTTTACTTTGGGTTCAGCAGATATCATGGGGAATACCCTGATCCCCTTTTGGATGAGACTTAAGGAATTCATGGTGACGAAGTTGCTATACGAGGGGAAGGCATGGGGCGATTGTCATGGAAGATGGTTGGTCTATGAGGGGGAAACCATAGATCAAGCAAAGGCAAGAGTGGATGATCGAGAGATTCAAAGGCTAAAAGAGCAAGCGATAAAGGAAAACGAGGAAATGTTGGAACGTGAGGAACAGGAGCGGGAGAGAGAGCACGCGGAAGACATGGCAAGATGGGCAGAAGAAGACAGACTAGAGGCGGAGATGATGCAGCAATAAAGCAACAAAGCTACGCGGCGGGAAGACTAAAAGGGAATGGAGTGAATTAATAGAAATAGATGCTCTTCCCTTTTTCCTGGAAATTCCATGCAGCTCGTTTCATCCTCCTCATTTCGTTGTGGTGAAAGTCCATCTCACCTAGTAACCCCCTTGATCAATCACCTACCCAGTCTCTCCTCGGGGTTTCGGTCTTGGCTATGAGCCTCATACATTGTCTTCTATTGCAACATCACGAATTCTCCATTTCATGCCTGCTGTGTCAGAAATATGCTTGGCCCAGGGTCTCAAATTGATACAGTACGTCCCGAAACTGGTGCAACCGCCTACACTCTTCGATTGTTCCTAAAATCCTAGTTGCCAAAACACGCTAGTCTATATCAAGAGTTTTTGTGGGAATAAATACGGCGTCTTTTCCACTAGACCATAACAAAAACCTCGGTTCCTGTTTAGGGCCTAGGGAGGCCATATCCCATTTCTGACAGTTTTGAGTATCCTTGTCAGCGGGGTACGTATTATTTGTTGCGAATAGTAACTTGACATACAGCGGAATGTATTATAATTTAATACAACTGACAACTCGATACCCATCTTGATACTCATCGCCCCTTGCACGGAGATCTTGAACGATTAACTACAGTACCGTGTGGCAAGTTCGAAACTAATCTTGCTATTTGACGAATACAATCTTTTCTTTCTTTTTTTTTTTTTTGAGATTTAGTGCACACCTTACTTAATGTACCTGATCTGCTTCTTAGTAGTATTTAAAAGTTGAATACACAAACCCGAAATAGTCTAGCTGCTATGTCTCTCAGTGGTATTTTATTTGATAGTACGCATATAAGGAGCTAAAGTTGAAAACGGAATTCCGTACCTACACTCAACAGCTTTTGTTCCATCCGTGCTTTAACCGAACCAAACCACCTTATTTCCTTGTTCGAGCGCTTTATTGCTAGTCAGTATTTGTTTCATAATCGCTTTAAATAGCTCGCTTACTCTGATCCGTCACAGTGACATCTCTATTAGCAGCAAAGACCACATCCTCAGAAAGCTGCCAGGACCTAGTAGCATAGGTCGTATAAGGTTCAATACTAACTATTTTTCCAGTGAAATTCTTTCTAGTCTCGCCGGGGCAAAGTAAAGTCAAAGATTCATCAGTATTATCTTCATCATGGAGTGTCAATTTCACATCGGTCTCATTTGACACTGTGATGTTGTCGTTGATAAACTTTGCTGTAGGCATGGTAGGAGTCAATATCCGTGTTTGGTACAACGTCGTAAGGGCTCGATGAGGAATCCGATAGTGAAGCAGTGTCTTATGGAAATTCATGGTGCTGCTAAAAATCGTTGCGGGCATTATGGGTTGGACTCAATATATATTGAGGTGGATTCTAAAACGTCATAATGATCATCAGCTGCTGCATACAGGATTGAAACACTAGATACATGATGTATCACTGAGCGTAAAGTACCGTATTGATAATCTAACAGGAATATTGATACTCCGGGCTTTATTCCAATTACGGTATAGTATATCTTGGCATTAGAAGAGACAATCGAAGAGTGTAGTGGTTGCACCGGTTTCGGGACGTACTATACAACGTGATCGGCTGCTCATCTAATGCCGACTACAGTCGTACAATGGGTAGCTGCGCTGATGGCAAAGCAGATCTATACTTGTCTAATAGCTCTGACCTAGCATACGAAGGGTTTTGCTGTGAGCGAGGCAGGTTTTCCTTCACGGTAAGGGGTATAATGACGGTCTTTATTTTGGAATGCTAAGTACTAATCGGGGTACCTATAGTTAGACGTGAGGAAGTCCGCCAAATCTTGCATAACCTTGCGGTACTTGCGGCTGAGTCATCATACACGGATCATTGTATTTCCGGTCGGTAATTATTCGGCGATACCAGACTTTCTTCGACATCTCTAAACTGAAATCTTACGGTCGTGTGTTTCTGGTTGTCTCTATTCCTCTCTTCTTTAAGTGGGAATTTTTCACAGAATGCATGCAGCATGCTGGACATGCCGCAACCGCACTATTCGATGTGACCAAACTAGCATTCCTTGCGCCAAGTGCAAGAAAGCTGGGCTGGAATGCTTTGAACAAAGACCGCTACGCTGGGTTAGAGGTATAGCAATCCGGGGTAAAATGCGCGGACGTATTCTTGGGGATGGTCTTAAAATCTCCGGTGAACATCTACCTGCGCAGCCAGAACGGAAAAAAAATCCTACGTTCCCGCGCGAACTCTTTGACAACCAATACTACTCCCTCGTTCGCCTTGCAAGACCCATGCATACACGCTCTCGACCAGTCATCGAGATTCTACCTTGATTATTGTGCGTTTATTCATAACGAGCTTAATGTTCCCGAGGGTGCACTAATGTCGGACAAAAGATAACATACGCATTACCAAGTTGTTCATTCTATATGACAGTGAGAGCAATCCGTTTAGGAGCTTACTCACTTACGCTATGGATAATTCAACACTGCGAAAGTGTATAATTGCAGTTGCTGCACGACACTTCGCTAATACGGGCCAGTCATTCGATCAGACCGACGCTTTGTCCCCTCGGTTTGTCAATGCAAATTTGGATGCACTTCATTTCAAAAAGCAAACTATCAATGCATTACTATTACCATTGTCCAACCTAGATAATTCATAGAAGGACGTGATAATGTCGACTATTGTGATCCCAGAGGCCACTTATGTAACTAGATTTGCATAATTGGCCCTTGTGCATGTCCGTATAAGACATGCCAAGGCCCGAACCTATACGTTCGGGTGCTATAGGCACCCGTACTAGCAGGGTATTTAGACATTAGTATTCCTAATATAATAGAAACTATACGATACTTCACGAATCTCATCTAGTAGTATGTCGGTATAAGCTACCTCCTATAGTAGCCTAAGGAGGCATAAGATAGTATCTCTAGAAGGTCTAATCGGACCTAAGAGATACTAATATCCTCTTATACTATCCCGATAACGATCTAGCGGACCTACTAGGCTAAATATAAAGATACTATAGGAAATATTTTAACTACTCTACTACCCGAAATAGGGGAATAGCTTCTACCCCGGAAAAAGAGAAGAAAAAGAGGTCCCGAAAACCCCTAGATAGAGAGGGGAAGTAAACCCTAATAGCCTTATAGGCCGATAAAGAGTAGAAAATAACTATAATAATACTATATATACTATATTTAGCGGAAAAAGATCCGTATCTAGGCGCTATTATAAGAAGATAATAGCCTTCTAATCTAATAAAGGGAAAAATAGATTTAGAAAAATCACTTTTCTCTTAAGATAGAACTATTTAAATCTAATTAAAATAGCTAAGAATATTCCCTAGTAAACGCTTAAGACTTAAGTCCGCTCTCGGCTTAGCCTAGAGGTAAATAAAATCTTTAATATCCTAATTAAAGAAGAACGAGATATATTTATTAAATTATATACTATAATTAACTAAAAATACGTCGATCTTATTATTATATAGGCTATATAAAGGGTTAAGATATCTTAATAAGGATAAACTAAAGTAGTATAGCTTATAATAGCTATTAAAGCTACTAATATAGCCTAAGCCGAGATAGTTTAGCTTACTATATTTTTTAATACTACTATAATAGCCTTTAATACTATTAAGAAGACTCTCTAAGGACCTCTCTTTTCTTAAGAAAGAGATAGGATAGCTCCGAACGCTTTTATATAGGCCTAAACTCTAATATTTAAGAATATTATAGATATAGATAAAGAGATCTAGAAAAGATTCCTAAATAATCTTAGGATAATTAATAATTTTAATAAAATAATCTTTAATAATACTATATATAAATAAATACGCGATTATAATTAGTATTTTTAGGAATTATCTAAGCTTATTAAATATAATTTCTTTAATTAAGTAAAGATCTTATATATATCTAGAAAGCTAGTAAGACTTATAAGATAACAATTAGAATAATATAAAAAATACTACGCCTTTCTCTAATTTAAAATCTTTAAGATATAACTAGACTTTAAAATATAGCTTTAATAAAAGTTCGTAAAGTACTTATTTATTAAAAAGTTATATAAATAATATAAATTAATTAAATAAGAAAACTAATTAATTTAAAAATACGCTTCTAACCTCTAATAGATTATCTTCGATCTAGACTAGAATATTCCGGATTTAATACTTATCTAATAATTTATAATTAGAATAAAATCTCCTTATTAAACTAAGTAAATAGAAGAATAGGACTAGTCTAAAAAGTTTTAAGATATTATTACTTTATTCGCCTAATATAAATAAAAATAGGCTATTACCTATTAATATAAGATTACTTCTTATTATCTTAATATAATAAATATCGATAGTAAGATTCTTATAGCTATAGATTTATTTATCTAGCTAGCTATAGATTTAAAAGAGACCTAAGAATATTATAATTATAAAAAGAAAGGTTATTTAGTCTATAATTACCGCTAAGTAAAAATAGAAAAGACTAAATAGAAATAAAAGGCTATTTCTAAATAGTTTATAAAAAACTAGTATAATTATATAATATAAAAATCTTTATTAGCCGTCTTAATAAAACTCCTAAACTATTATAACTTAATATAGATAACGTCCTCGATCCTAGTTATTATATAAACGTACCTAAATAAGCTCGGCTAAAGCCCTCTAAATAATAAAAAATCTTACTATCTCTCCTAGCCTTACTTAATATACTTAATAACTCCCTTATATTCTATTAAAGTAAGATTAAAATAGGAAACCGATAGATTACCTCTATCTATATACTCCTTAATAGCGGAGCTAATAATATATTTATCTTATCTTAAATACTCTAGAAACTTAGTATATAGATTTAGATCCGGAAACCTAAGATATCTTTAATAATTATTATTATAAATAGTAAATAACTAACTACTAAAGGATTTATAATCCTTCTAATTAAGATTAGTAATTAGGTAGGACGGATTAAAGCCTAAATACTCTTTATAAAATATAATATTATCCTAAGATAGGATTTCTTTAAGATTAAGAATCTATATATTAATTAATAAATCTCGATTATAACCCTTATAGATTATAATTACCGGGTCTATAATATTTATCCTATAAATAATAACCGAACGATTTACGCTAAAAAGATTTATATTAATTTAGTATCTATCTAGTAGATATATTAGTTCCTTCGGAAGAAAAATTATAAAAGATATCTCTTTATAGTCTATTATATAAGCGAAGAACCTAAAGGGTCTAAATTAGAGCTATTAATTTATAATAATCCTAGAATTTAATAGATCCTAATAAAATATAAAGAATTATTCTAGATAAAACTATCTATAGCCTTTTTATTAGAATATAATATAACTTATAAAGTCTATACTAGTACGAACTAATTTATTAATATTAATATTTATAGCCTTTCTATAAAGAAGCTTAATAAATAGGCTAAATAGATCGAAGAACTCTTTTAAAAAGGCCTAATCTAATAGTTAAGTAGCGCCTAGGGTTTCCTAATAGTATTTACGAGAAAGCTATATAGGAAATAGTATATATATATTAATTATCGGGCTTTTAATTTTATAATAGAGAAAAATAGATACCTATTCTTATAAATTTATAAGCTTCTAAATATTATTAGAAATACCTAAATCTTATTAAAAATCGATTTAATAGCCGGATATTAGTAAATTTATATAAGATAAGGGTCGGTTAAAAAGATAGTTTTTAATATAATCTAAGATAAATACGAATAACTAATTATATTATTTAGGCTTTATAACGCCCTTATTATATTTTAATTAATTATAAATAATACGTTACGCCCTCTCCTAGGCTATAATATAGTAGTTTATCTAGATAATATCTTAATCTTCTCTAATTTAATAGAGGAATATCGGAAATATCTTAAGTAGATACTAATACTATTAAGCGAATAAGAATTATATACCTTACTTATAAAATATATATTTATAATATATAAATTTAAATTCTATAGCTATATCGTCGGTAATAGAAGTATATAGCCCTTCTTAGCTAAGATTAAAGCTATATAAATCTAGCCGCGGCTAAAAACTATTTATAATATCTAATAATTCTTAGATTTAGCTATTTATTATTATAGATTTATTTATAACTTCTCGAAGATATATATATCCTTTTATAAACTCTTAAAAGAAAGTAATAATATCTTTAAAAAATAGAAATTCCGCCTAATTATATAGATAGAAGCCTATAAAAATATATTCTAGAAGATAAAAGACTTTTTAGTATCTATCCTAGTTCTAAAATAATTAGATTAAAATAAACTATATATTATCGAAATAGATACTTTTAAATAGGCTATTAGAATAATCT